TTTTTCTTTGGATTATTAGGGTCGAAACTCTTTATTTGGTTAGAAGGATCAGTCAAAGCTACATAGAGAGAGGCCAAAATCAACTGTCCTAAAGCAACATTTTAACCCATATGCAATTGGGTAGCCAGATAAGAAAATTGTTTGGCCACCTGCATTGACCTGGAATAAAAAACAAAGTGAGATAGCCACAAGGTTAGAAACACCACATGCTCTTCATCAGTTACAGGGCCAGAGGTTTGAGCATGATGGTCGATGAAATTATTATATGTTAGCTTTCCAGCTTCACCCATATCAAACCTTATTGGCATAGGTTTAGCATCTCTATAGATGAAAACTGTTCCAGATGGTTTCAACCCAGTGATGACGGCAACGTCGAACAAGGTAGGAGTGATCATACCGCATTTAGTATGAAAGGTGTTGGTCGACCCCTCCCTGAAATATAGGGTAGCTAGGAGCATGCCACTAGAATAAGGTTGACCATATTGAGAAAGTTCTAGCAGGGTATAGATACCCATCTTTTTCCATTTGTCTCCTTTGGCAGTTTCTAAACGTACCATCCAAGCACGAAATTTAGGGCAACGCAGAGGTGGAGTGGTCCTAAAGTTCCTGTCAATAAATTTAAGTGATATAGGGTTTGGAGAAGAGATGATGGGTCTGGTAGCAGTACTAGTGGGAAAAAACGCCTCCTTATCATCTACGTAGATTTCAGAGGGTGCATCAGCAGTAAGTGGTCCTAAAAAGGCTAAGGGTTTCTCCTCAAGAGAGAAATAGATAAGTACCTGAGGTTGCCAGATTTTGGCTTTCTCCTCAACAAATGGAGGTTCTGGTACATAGGCTTTGTCGTCGACAAGGCGCAGTTGAAGAGAGACAGCTGGAGAAGAGGTTTGATTTTTTACATTAGCCATTGTAGAAGGTTGAAGGAGGATGAAGATGAAGAACAACGATGGTGTGTAGTTTCTGGGTTTTTGTTTTCTAAAAAGCAAGGGATTTAAGAAGTGAAGGAAAATATAAAAAAATGGGAAATAAGGGTATTTATAAACCCTGAAGAAAGAGGAAGTAATGGGAAAATCTTTTGTCATTTCCTAAAGTTTAAATCACGTCAGTTAGTGGGGCGCGTGCCACAAGACCAACGCGAGTTAGTGGGCCACGTTTCCCACTAAAAGTGCAATGATGGCAAGCAATTAATGTCGCACGTCTCGAAACTGAAAGGCGTCGTACGCTACCATGATTGCGTGAGTCACGGAACAGACAGAACATTAATGTTCACTTTTTGAGAAATGGAAACGATTTGGTCGAATGGTGAAACCGACGCTTCAGAGATGCCATGATCTCATATTAGTCAAAATTCGAAAATGGAATCTCTGGGGGGCGTTTTGTTACCTTGGAAAATCTTAAGGAATTCAAGTACATGTGATAAATGAAGATATTCTCATAAGTTAGGAGTCATCCTCCAAAATAAGGGTTTTTTGGGAAACTGGAGCCAATGTGTGAAAAGGTTGTTTTATTAAGACAGAGTTAATGCTTGGAAGGAGTCATACTGAAACTGTCGAAAATTGAACTACGTCGACTAGGAAGAAATAAAAGGATATGTCAGGAGGATAAAATTAGGTTAGTCGAACAAAAGGGTAAAAGACAAGGACTTGGTCGAAAATGGTATTAGTCGACAAAGAAGGGTTTCTTGGACTTAGAGGAAGCGTGATTATTCTTTTCTAGAAAGAAAGCGTTGAAGCAAGGCAGAAGCGGTTTATGTTCAAGAGGCTTAGAGGAAACGTGGGCAGTTACTAGCAACCCACGACGTGTTCAAGCACAAAATAGGTGGAACTTTAAAATCATGAGCAGTTACTAGAAATCCACGACGTGTTTGAGCACAAAATAGGTGGCAACATCTAGTGAAGAAGTTACCTCAAGATGTTAATATTAGTCGTAGATTTTATCTAGGTAGTTACTTTGTAAACACTATAAATACGAAAATTTTGTGTAGTTTGTGGGTGTTCACTTGTACTCTTAAATCACTTCTTAAACTCTCTCATTCCGAGCATCAGGAAATCAAGAGTGAGGAGTGCTTGATGTACGTGAATCACCATTTTTCATTTCAATGAAAATCTTTTATCTTTCAAATATATCTTTTGAGTACTTTATTTTTTTCTCTTTACTGTCGAGCAAAATCTATACGTTATCTTCTATTTCACATAAACAATTCGACACTATATGTGGGTCACGAGTCACTTGTTTGTTAGTTTAGTGAGTCTCATTTTTTTTTACGAATATCTTCTATCGGTCACGAGTTACCAGTCAGTCGATTAAATCATAGTGTGGAAAATCATTACACACATTTCTCCAGTCAAAAGAAAGCCGTTTTCCTTGACTAATATTTCGAAGGGATAGGTGTGATAGCAAAAACTCTTAGCACGCGTCTTGAGATCAACTGGTCGATCTCGCAAGTTACCCTCAGTTTAGGACTCTGGGAGGACCAGCGGTTTTTTACCATTTTCCACAGTAAACAGATACACATTATCGTGCTTGTTTGTTTGGTTTATAACTGATGTAGGTTTATTGTTGTATGTGAATGTGTACGCTACACATTCCGACCATGATTTTCTGATATCTTGACAAACATTCTAATTGGATGGTATTGATTGGTGCTAATTCTACACTTGTTTGCTAATTGTGCTTGTGGTTTGTTTAAAACCTACCTCGAAGTAGGCGTTTTTGCTGTGTGTTTACATTTGTGCTCAAAGACCTCAAAATGAGGCACCCATTCTCATTATCATTGATAAGTCCTCAAAAGAGGCGAGTAGAAAAGGGTTCACAATCAACCCTAGCACATGCTAGTCTGTATTATCATCAGCGCATGACACACCATGATGCTTTGGAGCATGCTGCTCTTGTAATTGAGTTAGTCAGATGGAAAAGGGATTTGTTACCAATCTTCCACAATTTTTCTTGAGCTCACATTGGTCGATGTTGACGCTCAGTGTTTATCACTTTTCCCTTTACTCTTCTTATATGTCTATAAAATGCCACAGTACGGATTTTATTCCCACAAATAGCTTGTTTGCCTGGGTTGATATGACCCCTTGGCTAAAGCTTCCCATATCTTACCTGCTTGTTTGTCTCGGTTGATATGACCCCTTGGCTAAAGCTTCCCATTTCCTACCTCGATGCATAATATCTTTGTTAGGTCTTTGTGACTTGAGCTAGTGTGCGCTTCTCATGATATGTGTGTGCTCTCTTGAGCCCGTGGATTTCCGGTTTGCTTTTTATCCTTGTATATGCCATGTTCCCTTAGGTTTTGAACCTTTGTATGCTCCTTTAGGATCGCTCGATTAGGGCATCTTTTGATCTAGACATTAGCATAGGTATCCATGCATGCTAACATAGGTAGAGATTTCCCCTTTTCACCCTCAACCATAGGGCCATCATTGTATGATATTATTAGGGATTAGAGATAGATAGTCTACCTTAGTTGTTTTCTTTTCTTTTACATCCTTAAAACTAAAATCTCTTTTTCTTGGAAAATGCATAGAAATCTAACAACTATAAAATCCCCTTTCAAGGTAAAAAAAACATCAACCAACTCAAACCTTTTTTTTGCCTTCGGGCTTTGCATCAAAACTAATAAACTTTTCAAAAAGAAAATGTTAATTCACTTATGTGTTGACACGTGAATCTCCAAAGGTTGAGTTGCGGCAGAAGGTGAAATTAATATTGTTCATTAAAAAACATAAAACAAACTGAAACATATGAGCCAAACTTAAGATCTTTGATTCCTTAAAAAAGGATATGTAGGCATCTGGTCACGGGGCTCAGCCGAGCGAAACTTTGTAAATATTTCCTTCTTTTCCCCGTGTTTTTCTTTTGAATGCATTCCCTTTTTGCATTTTTCTTTAATCTCTTAAGATTTAGATTTGAACACACCCTTTTATTATAACAACAAATGTGGATACCATAGAGTACTATAGACGTGTGGGGTTATAATACATTCCCTTTTCATAACAGACTCCCTTACCCGATCTCTCAGTGGTTTGATCGTGATTTCACCCTTCTCAGCTTTACTCGATGATCACCTTTCCATTTTTGTGGGATAAAAAATATTTGATGTCGACTTCATTTATTTCATCTCGATGATTTGTTCAGTCGGTTGTTTTAATGCCGACTCATAAATTGAATTTTTATTCTTTTTCTTTTCATTTCAGTATAGGCTGACTCATAGATAGTATGTACCAACTCGAAATCTTTAATTGAGTCGACACGTGTGTTTTTTTATGTAGATTCACCTTTTTATCTTTTCATCCATTTTATCACCGCATATATTCATGTACCCACGTCAAACCACATTTACCATTAAACAATTCACGATCAAACTCCTCTTACCATTATGAATTATATCATAAATCTTGTTCAACCCATCCTATCTCTTTCTAAACTCCTTATAAAACCCCACTGCATCTTACCAAACTGTGACAGTCCAAGTTTGCATCACTCATAACATCATTCACTTAAAATTCATAAGTGTGTGCTTGTATTTGTTGGTTGTTTACATCATATCATAATTATAGGAAGTCTTGACTTCTTATATCCTTCATTCTTCAACTAATTTGGTTGAGACATTTTATCAAACACCTTTTATGCAAGTCTTATTGGAAGAAATTCTCAATGGCTCCCAAGGTTGCAAGGAGCAAAGGCGTAGGAAAAGGAAAAAACATAGCAAAAAAGACTGTGTTTGATCTACTTGATGAAGAGGATGTGAAATTCTTTTATGAGAAGTGTCGCAAAATAATTGTCACTAAGAAAAACTACTACAATGTTAAAACAACCGAGGAACTCCACATTCCTGAAGTAGTGGATCTGATCAATCATCAAGAGATTAATTACTTTATGTAGCTGAATCAAGATTACAATGAAGATCTGATTCATGTGTTTTATGCTTGGCTAATAAAGCGTTTCAAATTCACTTCATCTTCAATCTTGGAGGTACGTCTTATCACTTTACTAGAGCTATGTGGATGTCTATTTTGGGCATCACTATAGATGATGAGCCTATGGTCAAAGAATCAAACTATCATTCTGATTTCAAATGGAGAATTCACTCTAATGAGAAACTAAAGACACCTAGAGCTAGTAACAACAAATATCCCATCATAAATGGCTGTCTCAAGAAGCAGCCTCGTATAATGCATTGGATTGTGTCTCACATTTTGCGTCCTAAGAATGGTGGTTTTTCAAGAGTTGATGTGCCAGAGGTACATCTTGTCTATCTTCTCCTCAACAAAATCAAAATAAATTGGCCATATTATATTGTATATAATATTTTTAGAATTCATGATTGCAACAGAGGGACTGCTTTTCCTTATGCTTCCATGATAGCCAAGATTATCAATTCCTTCGACATTGATCTCCCAAACTTGGCATACATTTCTCCTACTGAAAATTTGGAATTTTCCAAAAGAACTATAAAGAACTTGAGGTATTATTTGGATCCTATTAGGAGGGTATAGTATTTCTTAGAAGCTGGCTCCAAAAGGAAAATTTACAACTATCACAATCTTGTTGTATTTGTTAATGTTGTTGAGGATCATATGAATTATGAAATTGAAGAGATCGAGGGGGATCCGCACGAGGATGTTCATATGTTAGATGTCGATTATGCTGCTGATGAGGCATTAGTGAGGGCTACCAAAGCTCAGCAAACAAACTATGAGCAACACTGGGATGGACATTGGTAGGATACTTGTTGGATTTCACATGGTGCAAATTATAGAGGATATGATGTTGGGACATATGACTATGGATCTAGCTCTCAAGAACACGTGTATGATTATGATACATGAAACAATTATGAAGTTATCTTGATGCTTCAGAACATGCAGCTGCAATAGAATCAATGTTATGAAGAAGAGTTGCAATGGAGGGATGATTTCCAGATTGCTCAAAACAAGTAATTTAGATTGGTAAATGAAAGTTTAAATGCTCAGGACACAAATTTTGAGATAATTGGATCCACTACCACTGAATAATTCAAGTTGATTCGCAAGGACATTCAAACAAGAAATGCAGTTCAGCTCTGAATCAACAATCTGCACATTAATGCAATGGAACACCATGATGAGTCTTCAGCATTCTACAGCACTATGCATAGAGGTGGACACACCTACCAAAGGCGTGATTATGGATATGGTGGTCGTTGATTTATTGTATCATCTTGGTGTCATCCCTTTCAGTACATGAATTTCATATCATTATCTTTAATATTTTGTTGAACAATTTACTTTGGGTGTTGTAATGACTCTTGGTGCATTTCTGTTTTTTATGTGTTGTTGGATATTATACTTTTCTAATGTCTTTTATCTATAATATTTTAATTCTATTGTCATTCAATATATATGGGTGTATGTGAGTGCACACTCTTATTTTTCAAAAAGAAAGGGCCTCTTATGATGTATTGGTCTTTATGGAAAACTTCGATACTTGTAGTGGTATGCTTGTTATCTTTTTGATGTTGTCAAAGGGGAGAAGGATATGCTAGATGAAACATGGAATACCTTACTCAAGGGGGGTGTCAAATGAACACGAAATGCCATCATTGTAGTTTTGCCATCATCAAAAAGGGGGAGTATATGAGTGCAACTTTCCTCTAGATAGGTTTTGTATGATTTCAAAACTATAAAAATATATCATTTCTATATGAATATAGAATTTTTGTATATTAGGCAGTATCTCTGAGTTTACATGGAACCCTTGGCGTTTATAAGTCTTAGGAATTAGTTAAAATATAGTAAAAAGGTATACATGTCTTGAAAAATCATTTTTGAACTGCATTTACATTTCAGGTCGACTCATAAACTTTACAGGCTGGCACATGTGCTACTATATATAACCAGTTTTGCTTTTATCTTGTTCAGGCCTACTCATGAAGCCTTTCGGGCTGGCACATGTGCTGATCTAAATAAGTAGTTTTGCTTCTTCCATGTTCAGGTTGGCTCATAGGCAATTTTATGCCAACTCATGATGTTAAAAATAGCACTATGAGCTGACTCATCCAAGCTATAGGCCGACTTATAATTTTTCATGAGTTAAATATTATATTTTCTTTTTAATTCCTAATATCCATCTTTTTCCCCAACATTTTTGTAACTATAAATATATCTTTCATGAATCATTCCAACTTGATGATACCATAAAATTGGCTTACATTTGCTCTTCATCTTCAATGTCCTACTTATGCATACAGAATGACAAACCATTGTAATGATTCTTTGTTGGGGTGCCATCTAGGCGATGATTGATAATGTCTGATTAGGTTCTTGTGTAGCCGAGAATATTGGGTTGAGAATTGCAGGAGTCTTCATATGGAAAACCCCCAGGTTTATCCTCCAAGATAATTGAGTGATGTGGGGGTTTTCGTACAAGACATTCAAAAGAGGATTGCAGCTAAGTGAATCCCTTTGAAGATAAAAAATGCAAAGTATCCTTTTGAGATAAAGAACACAAAGGAAGTAGCGAGAGAACGACAGATGAAAATTAAAGTCTTGTGTTGCAATAGGTGAAATTGGTGATGCGCGAAAGCGTTGGAGATAAAGTATGCAAAGGAGTAGTAAGATTCAGATAGTCAATTTGCAACTATTGTGTCTTGGTATTTCTCAATATCAAAGGAAGAGAAGGGGTTGAATCAACAACAATCATTAGGGTTTGTGGAGTTTCTCTTGTATCAACTTTTTGTATAGTAAGAATTAGACATAGACGTACCCCCACGCGAGGACGAAAGTGGGGAACTGTAAATACAAATCTTTGTGTCTCTTTTCCTTTATTGTGTTATTTTCTTTAATTTTCATATATCGATTTGTCAAATAGCATTTAGTTATCCATCGACAAGTAGGAATTTTTCGAAACCATTTTTGGTTTTAGATTGTATGTTTATTAGCTTATAATCACTTTTGATTATAACTACTTTTTCATATCAACATAATTCAAAGGAAAATTCTTAAACTTTGATTGCACACCAAGTATTTGACAAATTATTTAGCTTGTTTAAATTAAAAGAAAATTCTGAAAACCGTGTTGCACACCAAGTTTTCGACAAATTGTTCAACATCTTCTTTTGCTTGTTAACATTGGAAATAACATTACTAGTAACTTGCTATAAACGTTAATTAATATTTAAAATGATTGAAGTAGATTAATTCCATTTATCAATTTCATTCCATATTCATTTTTTTATATTTGCATATTCGACTTCCAATAACGGTTCATATAGACGACTTTTTGAAAAACCTTTCGCTCACACTCTTTGATAAATAATTTTTTTGAAACTAGAATTTTTATGGAATTTTTAATTGGGTATCTATTCACCCCCTATATATACTTTTGTACCAAAAAATTTTCCCTCCCATTTTCAAGACAAATTAAGGTCTCAATTTCTCAATACTTATCAAAGATTGATCAGACAAACTCTTCTCCTAAGCAATTGACCAACAACTAGGGTTTTGCTTCTCTCAAAGGAAATTGGACTTCTAATGCCTCAAGTGGATTTCATGGTTTCTCATATGTCTCAAGGTATCCTCATGCCAAGTTTCAAGCCTTACATCACAAGTTTGCTCAGTTAATTAGCCAGATGATTGAAAATTAACTATATTGGACAAAACATCAACTTTGACCAATTTACAGTCAAACTTCAAGATTTTGGGTCAACGTCAATATTTTGAAGTCACATTCATCATTTGATCAAGGGTTCATCATGATTCATCAAGAGAACTCAAGATTCATCAAAAGTCAAAAGTTACTAAATTAGGGTTTTCTTTAGGAGAAGTCAACAGAACTTTGACCAAGCATAACTTTCACATACTTCATCATGCATTCCTCAACCAAATATCATTTTGAAGGAAATTAAATTCTCTACAACTTTGTCTCTCTAATCTTAATCCCCAAAATACTTCCTTTGAGAGATATGGGCCAAAACATTACAGGTCATTTTAAAATTCAACAAAAAGACATATTTTGTCAAAGCAATTTACATTAGGATTAAGACTTCAAATGAAAAAATGACAAACATGAAAGTTGTAGGAGACATCTTGAGTTTTCCAAAAAGTTCAAGATTATCTTCATATGACAAAAATTAAGAGAGTTATGATTGGTGTAAGTTGAGTAATTTTGAGAAAATGCATGAAACCTAAATTGAGCAAACTTGAATTTTTGGGCTAATGGGCCTAAGTTTTCAGGTCTAAACGTGATCATGACCTCATATTAGACCTCTAAACCAATTCACATATTTTTTATGATTTTTATTTCTTTTATTTGGATTTTATTCATTTAAATGAAAATTAAATTAAATTAAATATGAAAGCATTGATACAAGGTGTGTGGACTTTTGTTCTACTCATATTGGAGGACCAAAAATCTACCTTAAAGCTCAAGAAACCGTGTGAGATGATTGATACAAGATTGAGCCTAAATAAGAAAGTTTTCATGCAAAACTCCAATCAAATATTTGATCATGAAATACAAAAGATTGATCTTACTTTTGTTGACCTAATCCAAGAATTATAAATACTCAAAACATTCAGACCGAGAGGGACACGAAAAACAACCTCAAGAAGAACCCTAAAAATTCCAAAATTTCACAAAACTAGGACACAATCAAACCCTTTTCTCCATCCATTTTTAATCCATTCCAAGCATCACACTAGCCTCCTGAAGATCCCAGGAGCTCATCCCAACCATTGTTGATGTTTGAAGCATCCCAAAATGCACCAACCAAGTTGCACCCGTTTGGTATCTTTCTTCAATCTCAAACTTTTTATTCATGCATTCATGACTGACTCGATGCACTTATACATGTTCATAATGATGTTTAGAATGTTTTAGAACCATTGTTTTAAGGTTTGATGCAATTATGAAGATTTGCCATTGTTAGGGCAAAGCTTCGTTTGACTTTCGAAACCCTAGCTATAGGCACTTTCAGGTCAAACCAATGCCACCATTGGATTCAGGAGGTCCAATTTAGGGGGATCCAATCCCTTTTGGACTTTAATTCTTGCTATTTTTGCAGGTTGAATTTTGGGGTCATTGGAGAAGACGGCATGAGTTTGACTTTGGTGTCTCTGTGTATTGTTGACTCCAGTAGGGGCTTGCATGGAAAAACCTCTCAACCTGATTCATCCATTCAAAATCCTAGGGACCCACTAATACACGTGTGGTAAATTTTTTTTAACTTCTGATTTTTGAATTAAGTTTTATTATATATCGAATGATGATGATTGTACTAACGCGTAACAACAAGCGTCCCAGTGGTAAGAGTGATGGTCATTATGCATGGATGCGTGGGTTTGAGCCAACCTTTATGCAAGTTTTCTTTTATTTTCCAGGACAAAAGCAGGTGCATACTATGTTACCTTATTCTCGTTCTCAAACATAAAAGACAACATGGCACAGTGGTAGGATGGAATGCTGATGGAGGCTGAGGGCGTGGGTTCAACACCCTTCCCGTGCAATTGGTTTTTCC